ACACAAAAATAAACAGTTCAATTTTGTTTGTGTGTGTGGGTCATTAACAGTTTTACACATTATTATCATTGTTAGCCGAACAAGACATTAAATGACAGTATTTTCGATTTTTTGTGTGTGCGTTATGCTATGTTACATCACTGCTATTCTCAAACGATAACACACTGCATCTTATTAAAGTATATGTCATATCCATCTCCACAATCTTCGTTGGTTATAACTGTAAATATTATTTTTGTAAATACATATATATCATATTCATACTTTTTTTGTTATTATAACCAGTGGTACCTCCGGACACTCTGGGGGGGAGCTATGTGGAGATAGGTCTGACAAGCTTATTTTGTAAATAGTTTTTAATATTATTGGTATTTATTTTGTCAAGTTCTCACTACATGTACATTTATAATTAAATGATTGTACCTCTTGTTTTATTAAATGACCTTGAACACTTTTTCCGTTGTGATACTAACATAGCGTGACATATCGTTGCTGGTTAACAAATACACTGCTTCTCACACATCCCTCGTTTTATTTTCATTCGAGATTGAGTTAACTGAGATCTAAAACAAATATTATTTACATTCATAGACTTCGAGAGCGAATACACCATACCTTACTTTGGATTACACCACTGGGGATTTCATCGATACGTTTGGAATTACCAAGCATCTATAATTGTGGATTTATTGTACCAGATTAAAGCTGAACACGCATCATTTTGGGTGAACTTAAGTAAAGTCCCATTTTTATTGTATTTGTAACATTTAACTGATATATATATATATTAATATTATTATTGCTTTTTATTAACTTTGTTGATACTTTTTGCGTTTATATATCGTCTGGTCCACCACAATGTCATTATTTCGAAAATTTTGGTTTCTCTTTGTCTTTGGTTTGGTATTTGAGAGTTTTTGCCCCGGGAACCTACAAACTTGAAGGTTTATTCTGTAATTGTTATAATTATTGTTGAAGAACGACATTTGGGTCGACGTTTTGTGAATTGCGAATAAACGTTTGTACCTTAATTGGAGTTTGGGTTGCAAATAGATCGATATACCGTACTTCAATAATAAGAACGAGCAAAAACTTGGACGTGACACTCCTTTCAATTTCAGTGCATCGAACAGAATAAGAACAAACAGTATACAATTTTAAATCATACTCATACCTTGTAAAGCAAGATTCCAGATTTTTTCGAGAGACGTTACGGAGATTGAAGCTCAATAGTTTAGCATGTTAAGTGCTTTAGTGGAGATATGTTTCAAGAATGCACTTGGTACTTGATCGATGAGATCACCAACCTCAGCTGTCATTTCTATGTTCAGTGTACCCACTACATATGCATATTTGACTGCTTGTGAGCAAATTTTATGAGCTAAATACAAAGTTGCTACCTAGGCAAACAAATTATAGAACTATTTATACCATATGAAGGTAGTAATATCCCAAATGTCAAAATAATGGTTTTTATGGTAGTTTCAGAATGTCCGGGAATAACGGAAAAACCTTTGACAGTAGCCTTTTTTATTTTCATGCCTTCTGTTGAACAAATAAAGAAGTAAAAAAGTAGTCGTAACACAGTGATAAACGAACGAAAATACACTGACGACGATCCCGTAATAACATGAATGGAGGATCAGTAGAAGTTTGATAATACCTCAACTCAGTTAATACTTCCAAAAATATAAAAAAAGAGTCAATAAAACACAAAAACAAGTACACAAGAATTCTATGATTTACTTGTCATTATCGGAAGAGCGCGTGTCCACAGTTCCATATTTGTTCAAAATAATGGTTATGTATGAACAATAATTCCATGGAATGTCAGATATGGACCCAAAGTTTTCGCATGTAATTGATGGTGAATTTGCTTTATAACCAGAGCTAAAAAGTATGCAATGGCATTGTTAGTAAACAGTTAGAAAACGTCAGTCAACAAAGTCAAAAAAGGAGTATATGTAAATACTTGTGTTTAGTGAAGGGTAATCAGTATAACATGCGAAAAGTGGATAGGAATAATGAGGGTAAACTTAAACAAAACACTTTGGTCACTGTGGTCTTTTTATATATAGATTAAAGTTATGAAACAACAGTGACAAAAATTGTTCAAAATCTCAGTGTATTTCAATTATTCCTAACAAACTAACGCCGAGTTTGGACCTGGTCTACGTTTTCCATGGTAATAACGTGGACACGATGCCATTTTTGAGACATGATAAAAACTGCACTCATAGTGCAATACTAAAACATAAACAAAATCAATAACCGTCAGAGACATTTGCACGAATGCACAGCCTATTATTTTTATTGATTTAATCTATTTAACAACCGCACTTGAGATGCATCTCAAATACAAACAAATGTTGTGAATCACAAGTCACGCCAGTAAAAGTAGCATGTACCTGCCCCAGAAGAAGTACACGACTACCGTTGTTTCTACAAAACGTCTAAGCCATCACAAACGCCTCCATTTAATTATTTGTCGGCTCAGTGGTGAATGTGAACAGTAGTAAAACATTCAGGTCAAAATTTGCAAGTGATTCCAACATTCAACTTTCTCGAGTGTCATCTTGCTCGTCACATTCAGTGTTTATCCTTAAGGTTCACCAGTCAATAAAGATTACGTTGTCACGTAACTTCTTTCCTATACCAGTGGTAGATATATACTTGAATAATTCTAACCGCTTCCACTGTGTAGTTCACCGATGTTGTTAGTAGTTAGGCTGCTTGGGTTGGACGAAAGCGGTTTGACCCTCTGTGTACGTCAATTAACATCTAACCATCAATGAGTAGCCTGTCACTGCGATAATTAGGAGTATTTGAGTTATAGTACGAACTAAGAATCCCAGAAATAACGCTATTGAATCGAGAAGTACTAGATGAGCACAAACGAATGGATTGTATTTAGAATTCGAAATAAAGCAGTCATCAAGCACAACGGAATCATTAGTTCATTCAAACGCTACACTCACCCCACGTTTATAACCAGGTATTGCAGCTTCTTTGGTGGGTGTATGAAACAAGTAGAATTTTATCAAAATAAGTATGTAGCGCCAGCAAAATGTCACTAAGCTCTAGCTAAATCATCCTGCAGTTGGGTCACTGATTATCGAACAAATCATCGATCCTCGTCAAGGTATAGGACAACCAACGCGCATCAGTTAATCGTATGCCATGGACTGGCTCATGCTGCAGTGGTCTTACTTTCGCTTGCATCTACTTTAACTAATATATTTCTGTAATGACGTCTTCTGTGTTGTACAGTCTTCAAAGCATCTATGGTACCTTAATACGTCAATGGGGTAGTTCATTTAAGGTGCTGACCACACGGTGTGACTTCAACGTTAGCTAGTTTGTCACACCATTCACGTCTAACTCGAGTAGACCTTCAATCATTTTCGACATAGATCATCTACGTTGGTGATCTACAATTGCACGTATTTGTAAATTTGGGTTAAAGATATACATTATATAGACAAACTGTCTCATGAACAGGTCCAGGGCAAGCAAATGGCTACTTCCAGTTTTTCGCTTTTGAAACTCTGTAGTCTGTATAACACAGGGATGGTTTGGCCTGGTTTTGGTGGCACATTACTGGCTCTAAAAATGCCATCGTGAACCAGTAGCTGGGAGTAGCTCCTTCATCAAACCTTTTACCTCACGGACGATGCCATTTGTTTAGTACGAGTTCAAAGGAGACCAGCTCATAAAGCATCCAAACTTTAAAACAAACCATATTCAGCTAGCTTAGAAGCAATGAAGCTAAAAACCTGGAAAGTGACGAGATATAATTATCTTCAACCAATAAATTTCTGAACCTAGCAAGACTTCTTCTTTAGAGAGGAAACCAAAGAGATCTCATTGAAAATGATGTTAGTAGTTTAGATGTTATATTACGTAGGCGATTGGATTCCCTGAAAGGTGCGAAGCGATGGTGGCTTAATCTAACTTCTTTAAGAAAGGATTTAACACTGAAAATGCCGTTGGTATTTATTTAACTCTATAATATTGGGTGTGTGGTGGATCACAGTAAAGAAGCTTATTCAAGATATAAAAAATGCGTAGTTGCGAATGATATGCCGAAAGAAATATCACGACAAACTGAAGTGTCTATTTATGAGTAAAGGAAAACGGTAACAAACAACACAACAAAATGGTGCATTAGACAAGACGACAATTTTCGGGGACGAATGTCACATATTAGCTCCTTCTGAGATAACAACCACATATCAATTCAGTATATTACCGAAGGTCCCTACGCGCGTCATAGCACCAACGGTGTGATGAGAAAGATAAATGTGATAGTATTACTCGATAATAATCCGGTCCAAAACTCCAACGTAGTGTAGGATGGCCTAAAAGGATGTTATAACATTATCATAATCTTCAGTCACAGGCCGTGGCCAACAAAGTAGAAGAACAGACGATAGAGATAGCGTTTATTTCTAATGTAGAGGTGGTGTGTAAATGTATTATCACAACATTAAGGACTAAGGATATCTTACTATGATTTGCCAAATTTTCTCCTCTATTATGGTTAATATAACTAGGTTCCTGCTTGGAGGTATTGATCCACAGCTACTAGACGCGGAAGCCCGCTGAGTGAAAGCTTCCTCCATTCCTTCCTCAACCATTTTGAACCATTTGAACCGAATAATTATATTCGTTTTTACCATTGATACAGAGAAACGATAGATAATAGTATATTTTTGTCATAGCAGGCATTGAATATAGGTGCAATTACATGCAAGTTGTCACTGATGTAGAAAAATGTCGTCTTTATTTTGTTGCTGCAAGAATCACTGATTATTCCTGTCGCTATAGGAGTTACTTTTCGGTTATCTCACTCATTAATAAGCAATATCCTTGTCAAAAGGGTTGCCACAAAAAGAGACAATGAACAAAGGAGAACCTTCCTCCATTACAGAAATACCAAGGGAGAAACAGTTCGCAATATCTGCTAGCAAAGTTTGAAACTTGAAGGTGTGTTTATTGAACAATGAGTTTTCCGCTCAAATTGTTTCGGACGTTTGTTCTGGCAATGCTTAAGTCCTTGACCTGATTCGTTAGTATCAATGATGAGAGTCGTATTTAGCACGATATTGTTTTTGTGTGTAAGCCTTGATATTGCCGTATGTAACTCAGAAGTGAATGATGATTCATCTGCAAGAACTACGCTACAACTGCGTGATAGTGTGGAGTTTTCTTACTCGATATCAAATTCTTTTTTGGATCTTATTCGTGGTCAGAAACCACCAACAGCCGTCTTTGAAACCTTTGTCAATATTCAAAGTGCGTTTTTATCGACTTTTAATTCTCTTTGACTTTTAGCTTCTCACCACTCAAGACTCGCATATAGAAGCATTGAGCCCGTGAGTTGCTGTTTCTGTCTTTGTTTTACGTTGTGATCTGATTTTTGCAAAAGGCACTGTGTTTTGTCACATTTTTACCGTTTTGAACCTGCTCGTGTTCACCCGCTAACCACTTGTTTAGGCCGTCTTAAAGACGCAACTAGTTTCCTCGCTCCATGCAGGTTTTCCTGCAAAGTGGTCGAATCCTGTGGTTAACTGCTGAGGGAATTCATGTGAGCACCTTCAGTTGAATACTTTATGAGATGGATAAACACAAGCATGATAGAAAGTGAGTAACTTAGGTCTTTAAACTCCTGTACTCACAACAAAATCTGAATATTAATACTGTCAACTGCTAGTTGTTTGTGTACGTATTCAAAACTTACTTGAGTTTATAATTACTGAAAGCTATTTCCTTTGTAGGGCTTATTATTAAAGAAAGAAAATGAGTAACTAACTACCCATAGGAGTAGTTCATTTCATCTCACAATGGACTAACAACTATCCCGCTATAAACCATCTGATTTTTCAGACAATTGGAAGTACTTCAGTTACTCACTCTCAAAGAAATGTCGAGAGTCTGGGCGTTTGTTCTCTCCTGAAATGGCGTTGCCACGATATAGTCTTAAAGTGTCTCCAAACCTCGCGTTATAAATAAAGTGTGAAATATGTAATCATCTGTGAAACTTAAATATAGACTGCTACACCTTTTAAGAGAATCCAGAGCACTTCTGTTATATAACGAATGGAGCTCACAACCAAAGTATTCAGATTTCACTTTACGAGAAAAATAATAGTCAGGCTTAGTTCATATGTTCATCCCCCAAGGTTACCGTAGTGAAACGTGTTCATTGAGATAAATACCACAGTAGTATTGATGACAGTAAAATATGATTAGGTGTAGATATAATTTTATAAAAGTGATTCACGAAATAGAATAATTGCATAACTCAGGATGTAAGGGAAAGGAGAGTGAATGCATCTGTCCGATTGCTACCAAATTTCAGACTACGTCATCTATTGGCTCGAATTACTAGTCTCGATGGCAGCGCGGACGTCAGTTAGGTAGTCCGGGCTACAAATATGACTTAGGTCGGTTGTCAGTGACTTCATGGACTGATATTATTGTTTCATTTATCCCTAGCTTTTGTCAAATGTGCTTATATAATAGCAAACGTCGTGCATTGATGTTGGAGTGTTTGTGCGTACTCAGCGCATTTCCCAGCCTTAGTTGCTAAAAAATCCACTGTATTTTCAAATGATGACTGACCGAATTATTTTTCGTAGTACTGTACTTTCTAGGTTCTACAAGTCCTTGAGTTTTTTATGTTAAAAAGTATATCATACTTTAGAAACTTAGCAAATAAACAATGGTATATGTTTGTATATAACCACATACTTTTCTATACAGGTTGTAACGACATACTTGGGATATGGCATATGTCTTGTTGTCGGTCTTCTATTTGCTATTTTTATGCCCCTTGTTGGAATCGTTTTCTTCTGTGCTCGGTGCTGTGGAAAATGTGGTGGACGTGTGCAATTTGTAGATTCCAAACACGATCCCTGCAAACGAGTTGTATACACAGTGTGCCTAGTCTTAATTGTGACTTTCCAATTGTAAGTCAGAATAACCCGTTCAAAGCAATATAATAATATTACTGCTATGCTTGTTTTTCTTTATGTTATGTACGTCGTAGATGTTTGCCCAAAAACCTTTATCATATTTTGGATAGTGACTTTACGTTAAATTCTCAGTTTTTGTTTCCATTAAGATTCATTAATTAAAAAAATCTATTTTGTGAATATTATCGTCATCAAAGTTTAAGTATTCGAAGCCCTTCCATAAGCGATTCTAAGTGTAACGAGTACTTGTAAGGTCACACTCGTGTGACTTTATATGACACTTATAACATATAGTTTCCTGGTCAATATTACTAGTTCAAGTCCTTTTTATGAACTAACACTCTTAGTTTTTTACGCATTTCCATAAGAATAGATCTGTAAGTAGTTATCTTATCAGTTTTGGAATATTTCCGATCTAAGTGGTTATTAACAAAAGTCATCTAAGGCTAACAATAATCAGGAATAACTATTTGAACGCTTTTAGTGATATTGTTGATGTCTCACTAAAACTTCAACCGCTTGAAAGTCTATCATATCCGTTTCTTTGAATTCAAGTTTCTTAATAAATGCAGATAGTTCGTATCTGTACAGTTTCATATCATTATTCACTTTTTAGTGACCTTAAGTCACTAGTACACACTATGCTATTGGGTAGCATAGTTGTGCTCCTTTATAGAGCTCGTCAGTCTAGCTACTTAACTTTCCGTCTATCGTCTTGGAGTTTTGGAACTTCTTAGGGCTTGAGTGGTCAAATAGCCTTGTTGGCCTATTGTTTCCCCTGCGCATAATGGAAGCTGTTTTCTCACTGTACTAGTAATTTGATCCTAATATTTTATTGCTAGTTAGCTCATTTTTAGTTGCTGCTATTCACCACAGCAAGCAAACACCTTAGAGTTCAACTTGATCATGAAAAAGTCAAGAATATATTTTAGGAACAACTAAAGAAGCAGTTAGTCAACTGTGAGAGTGATATCCACCCTGAGTTAACTTGGGGTGATATCTGAACAGTAGTGATATCTACCAGCTACTTAAACCATTAGATTAAGAAAAGTCAATGGATTTCAGCGGCGTCTACTAAACCATGGATGCTTAAAAACTCATGCCGTCTGGCTCTGAACACGAGCAAAACCAACTCAAACGTGGGCTGATAAAAGGCTCACTCAGAAATCGTGAGCAGTGGTGGATCCTGGAAGCAAAAGAGATAGAAAAGGCAGCGGCGATATATAACAGTAGACAGCTGTTCAAGCTTATCAATGAAATGGGCATTAAAAACACGGCTGTTGAGAAAGCGGTCTTTGGAAAAAACGTGTCTATTATTTACTCAATCCAGGAGATTGAACTGATGAACAGAACAATTTTTGGAACAGTTCAACCAGTCTTCAACCACTTTAAATACTCACTATATTCGAGAAACCTGAATGGCGAATCGATTTAAGTCCTTCAACTCAGTGAGGTTGAAAAGGCTCTAACTCGAGGGGAAACAGCAGGACTTGATGGACTAATCCCCGAGATTTTTAAGGATTGTGGTTTAGTTTGAGCAGTTAGATTGACTGAGATCTTAGTTAAAATCTGGGGACTGGGTGTAGTCTCATCTGTGTGATCTCGATCACTGATCGTCCCAGTTTACAAGAAAGGACAAAAAATCCTCCTCCAAATGTAATATGTTACTTCAAGATTGGCCTGCGTCATTGCCTGAATTAATGGTAGGGAGGGAAGTAGTTAATTGTATCGACCGCTTGATTTATCTTCGGAGTCTCATCAGTCCTAATGGTCTAGTGCCTGGGAAAATATCGCTAAAACTTCAGGAAGCTATGCTGGCTATTGCCAACTTGTGGCGTAGGAGAGATATCCGTCTGCCAACCAAAGGACAAGTTTACTGCACATCAGTTTGTTCCATTCTACTAATGTAACTGGTCGGTGATCAACTTATTACACGCCTAACTATTTAATCGTTAGTTGTTAATCTGTGACAAATGAATTGTATCTAAAACACTCGCGTCTGTTAGTCTATTCCTTATTTGAATTTGGGCTGTGTTTTTATAACAGTATAGGCAGACGTTGGTTCCTGATTAATTATTACGATAAAGTAAAAATTCGTCCAACTAAATTGTAAGATATTAAATCGTTGTAACTGATATTGGGAGATTTGATTTTACCTTCGTCGTAGTATTTAGCTTAAAAGCAAAGATATCTTTTATTCATCATAATTTTTCGTATGCTCTTTTATATTCTGAAGGGCTGCTGTTGTTTTGGCTTTCATCAATCACTACTTATTTCATGAAGCTTTGGTCAGCAGAGACCCGCGCATAGGTGCTTTTAGTCAAGCTAACCTTAGCCTTGTTGAGTTTGAAGAGGCTCTAAAAGATATGGTACAGGTTCGTTCAACACGAGTATTTTTACACTATCCCGAATTACTGTCATTTGTAATCAAGTTGTGGAATTTTCTATTTGGTGTTTTAGTGTGGTTTTTTCTGTTTATTTCTATCCTTGAGATGTTAAAGCTAACTTCATGCCTAGTTTATTATTTACAATCATACTTCTGTTTGTAAAATACTGAAATGAATGTTCAAATACTTAATGATCTGAGGACTAAAATTCATATTTTGTTGACCTACTGATTTATGGCAGCAGTGGGTTAAACTGACTGTGTGCTTTGTGTCTGGACATTCATTACTGATCCAACGTATTCAGATCAATCTGTACCACTAATTGCTTTTCCATTCTCTGAGGAACTCCAAACTTGATCTGGATTTGACAGACAGGATAGCTGGTGCTTGATGTGTTTCATATTGCCCTAGATAATTGTATCGCTAAATACTTCTGAATTGTCTTATTGTTTCTACTAGTTCCTTCCTTTTGCCATTACATTCGCTCCTATTATCAGTATTTTTTCTTGTCTCCCTTCACTTAGTTCAGTTTATGGTGTGACTTTTTCAACCGCTACACTTTTCTCATTCCCTAAATTATTTTTGTTTCTCGAATTCCACGACAGTCGTTTGACTCCATTGTTTTATGTTTCTCGCGATGTTTTTTGGGGTCCAGGTCCTAATTTGTGGAAAAGTATCCAATCCTTGTAGACAAACTACTCTAAAAGTTGAATTTGGCAATTGAATAATGATGTAGTCCTTATACCTAGTTAAGTGCGGTCAATCAAGGTTAAATAAACAAGTCAACATATAGTTTGATAGTCAAAACCATTGGATGCTGACATAATTATAGTTGTTGGTAATCTGGTTCAGGTGTGTTATTGGGTCCTTCCCATTTCTCATAGTTTTACAATTTCCATCTGTAGAAAAGACAAAAGTTCATAAAAATAATGCGCACTGAAAGTTATTCTAAATAAAATGTGAAACTTTGATCACTTGAAAAAAAAGTCTTTATGTTGATTATCCGTAATGCATGTGACCTATGGTATCAGAAAGGAGCATGTGACGGTGTTTTTTACTTCTGTTTTTTAGATGGCAAAGAATACCTCCTCAACAGATCTTAGTAAACAAAAAGAACGCTTCATGCGAATTGTAGATGGTAGGTTAAATCAATCAATACATCAACCTTACTACTTTCCATTTAATTTAAATACAATTATTTCTATACATTTTATTTTTCATTTGTATCTTCTTAAGGATGTCGCGTAGGGGGAAGCATTAAACATGCCAATGTAGAAAGGGCCCATTAGTTTAAGCATTCAACTTCAAACCAGTAAGTCTGAACCTCACTAAACGTAACTCGGCTTAGAGAACTGGATAGTTTGATTAGCTTTTTCACAAGACTTGAAAATGCAGATAGTAAATGAATTTCAAATAATAATAAAGTAAATAAGTTTTTTTAAGGTTCCCTGTAAGGATTGGTAATTTTCAAGCACATTCGAAGGTTTTGAGATAGGCTATCAGAATAGTGTCTTGGTTTTGAATTAAAGAGCCAAACGAATATGATCAATCAGTTATCACGAAAAAAATTAACGATTGTTTTGATAAGTATGAACACAGTACATCAAAGTTCAATGGTATCTGAACTTAAGATCGTCATATATATGTTACGGGATTCTGCTTTTACCTTGCGATTTGCCATTGAGTAAATTGAGGAATGGAATTTACTTTTTTGTTATTATTTTTTAAGGTCAAGCTATTTAAAATCATTTCCGTTGTAATCTTATGTATGATGTTTTTCGTCTGCGTATCTAAGTTGTGTACTAGCAAAACTTCACTTACTTTTCTTCCAGATAGCCTTGTCAGTTTTCAAGAAGATTTTACCAAACTGTCTCAAGCGAATAATGTATCTGATGCAATTTCAGAATTTCAAACAAGTATGTATATTTAATCATTTATTAATATGTATACATTATGACATAATTTACATGTGATATTTTGCTTTCTGTACTAAAGCCTTCTGTATTTAGAGTTGAAGATGATAGAGCTTTACATTCAACTTTTTCAAAGGATAATTACAAAGGTTAGGGCATAAGTGTTAAATTCATCATAACGGTACTAAAAGAAATGAACGATGTAAACCTCTGTCACAATGCTTTTGTGTTAATAAGTGGTTATGATATTTACACATCATAATTTTTCTAAAAATCTCCAGACGTCTTTAATTACAGCTCTTAAAGGTGACGGGGACAATAATAGTTAAATCTTTCAATATATTACTCAGTGGCTCAGAACTCAACCAATGCTCACAAATTACTAAGTCATATTCACTTAGAATCTAGGTAAGTGCTCCAATATTAGACCCTGAATAACGCTGCAGTTAAGCACTATGCAGATGATAAGGTTCCTACCTTTATCACTTGAAAATACATCGATCCCGACAGTGTAACAAATTGTGACATAGAAATAGAAATGAAACTATTAACTGTTTTTCGGATGTCCAAGGAGTGATTTTATATGCTAAGGGTATGTAGTTTGATGCAGTTAGGTGTGAAATAATTTTTTGGGCACAAGATTGAGACATTGACCCATGAAGGTTTTTTGCTATCAAAGCAGTTCTTGTAAACGAGTGAAGGCTTTCCATCCCAAGTCCTTGAGATAACGGTTCAGTTGCTTGTTGAGGACGTTGATTAATCACCTCGAGAATCATACTCACATAACCTGTTTCGAAAAATGGGCATTGCATTCACATCTTACTTGTCCACTTGGTGTTTCTCTTTGGGTGTTTTTTATGTTTTTGGTGTGATGCCAGTAAAAATGTTAGTTCGAAAAATCACCTATTAATCTAGGTTTGGTGATATCACTGGTTATACAGTTATCAATGTATGCTAATATTTACTTATTTTCAAATTTATTTTGCATATGATTAGCAATACAAAGCAATTCATAAATTCCTATTCCATACTCATGATTTTTTTCCTAATCGTATTCACTGTTTCTTATTTACAAGCTGCACGAGCTTTCCTCCCTGGATCTGAGGCAATCGCACAAATCAGTTACTTCAACCATTCACTTTACGAAGTGATCTCTGAATTACCTACCATTCGTCAGGGTTTGACTGATACATTGAATACAGGTTGTCCCATTGATAAGATCATTGAATGCCGAGAATTGATGGGACTGGCCAACGATCAGTTAAAAATTCGTGTTTCACCAAGTATGGTAAGTAATGATTTCATGAATTATATTTTTGGTTTTAGGTTACAAGTTGTGTTATCAAATGATCTATCATTTCTCACTCATTGTTAAAAAATCGCTATTTTTTTTTACCATAGTTCAGACATAAACAGTTTGGCTTAAAAAATCGTCTTCAACCGACTGAGTAGAAAATTAATTTTGAATCTACATAAAGATATAGTCTAAATACAAACTCCCTTCAACTTGACATTTAATCAGTCTTCTTTTTATGAAGGAATTTGCTGGTTGCTACCATTGTTGCCAAGGTTTCGAAAGCTGGTTGTTTGTTACCTGTTTTAATTCATATAAAAATCGTATAAAGTATTTTATAGAAAAACATTTAATAAGAATTAGAGAAAAATAGATGAATAGTATTAAAATGCATTCAAATCTAATACATTCATTAGTGTATTTTTGAAATTCTAACACTAATTTTTAAGAAATATGTATGGATTTCGATTATTAATCGTAGTGATATTATTTTTAAAAAGAAATTATGTGCATTTTTCTGATTGTAGTTCAAACTAGACGAAGCGTTTTCTATTTCTAATCAAATTCAACGGCATCTTCCTGATGTTGACTATCTCAGTGAAGTAAGGATTATTAATTTTATCTCAGTTCATTGTTACTAATTATTTTAAAAGATTATTTTTTCGGATAACATTACTTACATGAATAAATTACTTGGTATGTTTTTTTTAAAACAAACTTCGATATTGAATTCTTGTATATATACTTTTTCTACATCCCCCCCTCCTAGTATCTCAGTATTTTTGTAACAATTCAACAGAACATTTATTTTAAATTTATATCATGAATGGATCAGGGTTAGACCACTATTGAAAAACTGGAAGCACTGGAAGGCCACTTCGTCCTAGCATGGGACTCCTCAGCTGTGAGCATCCATGATCCCGCGCGTGGGGCTTGAACCCAGGACCTCCGGTCTCGCGCGAGAACGCTTAATCTCTAGACCACTGAGCCAGCATCCACCGGTGTTAATGTCTAACTTCAACCAATCCACGATATTGCACGACCGTTCACCGTTAGTTTCAGTGAATAATTTCCTCACAACAGACACTTTTGAACTCCAATGGCCACGGCTTCCCACTAGAACTCCAGGAAATTCATCTTGAAGCCAGTCACTAATGCGAACATGATAATTATCAGCATTGGTGTTTTTGATTAGGATCTAATAACAAACAGTTTTTGGCTTGTTAAAACGGAGAACGCAGTTATGTGAGTGGTTACTGCTTATCAGACTAGAATGTTGACTAAAATCTCGGAATAAGCTGGTACCAAAGATGGGACCACTAGCCATATAAATAGACTTTTTACATAATAAAATACAATGTTTATATATAAATTTTTAAAAAGATTAACATGATCGGGTGCTATAAAATTGATTAGGGAAAATCCGTTTTGTTAGTCGCTCGCTTTTGAATAAACTAAGACTTGATTACTAGGCCTAATTCTTGTTCATCGTATCGTATTACCATATATTATAAACCGTATATTCAGATGTTATATACCGAACCTCTGTTCATTGTCTAAAGCTCTGACCCCACCTATTATAGTAATCACACTTTCCCTTTCTTTACACACCTAAATGTAAAGTTATGTTTTTCAATACTTATCGTTTTGATCTGCATCACACAGTTTATTTCAGCTATTAAAAGCTATTCCTGTAAAGCATGGCTATCTACCATTAAGTTCATTGGATGTTGAACTGTTAGGAGATATTATTTAAGGTTTGCTTCATTCTAAATTCATGAAAGTTCCAAATACTAAGTAGCCTCTTATCATTCACACATACTCAAGCCTGTCTTATTTCAACTGATGTAAGGCCCATCATTCATATGACCATTAGTTGTATCACTGTAATCTCATTATTCATTTTGTACTTATTCATGTGCTTAATTATTGGCTTTTACCCATTTACATCCTTATATATTGATTGTCTGGTTATTTTGTTCAGTGCCTATTTGAACTACTTAGACTCGTACAATAATTTGCATTATAACTAATTGTAACATCAATCCACACCATATAAAATTAACATCTATAATTTCTGCACTGTACACATGTGGTTTGATGAATTACTTCGTCTGAAATATCTCTTTTTTAAAAATATTTCGTAAAAAATTTTTGATATCGCCTTGTCATCTGAATCTGATCGCGAAACGGGATCAGCCTGAAAACTGGGATCACGAATAAATGAAGTTAAATTAAACAATAAATTTCTTTTGGTCTATTGGTGGTATTTATGAAATAACTTGCCAGCTGATCAACTTTCCTCTTACTAAACACGTGTGCTCTTGTAATCCATTTTAAACCATCATTTGTGTAAGGCCTAGTGATACTATTGTCTATGTATTTTAGTCCCGCAGGGTTTGAACTTGGAACTAAGTAGCTGCATTGAGGGCCTGCTTGAATATCTGGGCTACCTGTTTCTTCCATCTAAATATTTCAACAAGTTATCTTTTTTTTTAATTTTTGTTTTAACACCTCATTATGTCTATCAATCTCATAACCTATGCAGGCGCGCATATAAAAAGCTTACAACCTTTCGCTGCACAAGTTGAGAAAAGTACAATAAGAGACATCGTGGGGGTTGGGAATTCGCATTGAGGAGAATGAACATTGATCGTATGTCGATTCCCGAGCTGCTGAATTCTAACTACCGATCACTAATTAACAAGGTGGACTATTTTCAATTCCTACTAAACGAAAACGTGTATCGTAATTGTGTTGTCATCACAATTCAAGAATCTTGGTTAAGTGATTCTTAGGACGATTGCTTAGCATCACTACATGATTTCAATATCTATCGTCAGGATCGATCAAGCAATAAAAAGAGGTGTGGCGGCGGTGTAAACATGAAATGGTGTCGATCTACTTTTTCATGTTTCAAGTTTTCAAATGACTTTATCGACTGTCTAACTTTAAGATGTCGTCCAAAACACCTGAATAAGCACAATTAGGTTTGTGTTACCAACATCTACGTGACTACAGACTGCACATCATCTGGGCTATCTGTTTTCGCTGATGAATTTGCTGTTACTGCTTTCAGTGTTTCACTCTCAATTGTATATGGTGATTTCAATCCATGTGACTGTAGCTTCCTTGCATCACTAGGTCACCAAAATGTAGTAAATTTTCCTACTCGTTTGGGTGCTCATTTTCATTAATTTGACTCGTAAACGTGTTCCATTGTCTAGCTCGGATCACTGTATAATTCATGTTCTACCTAAAGTATATGAAAAGCATGGAAAGAGTACACTCTTAAATCAGACCAAGAAAGCCAAATATAGGAATTACTCAGAAGAAGATATCCAAAATCTGAGAAACATGTTTCGTACGACTAACTGGGAATGATTTACAGATGACTCACTGCAAAACACTACTGATATTATCACTTTTTATCTTAAATTCTGGTTTGATATTTACTATTCCACTGAAACCATTTTTCAAAGTTTTGGTCGACGTACATCTTCACAAGTAAGTTGACTACGAAGAGTAAAAAAAGAATGTACAAGAAGAAAAACAATTGAATTTCGTAAGCTAAATGGTTTAATAAACCCAGAGATTAGACGTCTCAGCTCTATCTTTCTCAACTAATCTCATACCGAAAATGTAGAGAAAGATAAAGATAATCCCTATACCTAAGAAAGTATCTAGTGATAAGAATGTGAAATTTAGACCCGTAGCAATAAATTCACCTTTCCTCAAAACGATTGAAAAATTCTTGATACTCTCACCTCAACCTGCAATAAAAGAGCACATTGATCTGTATCAGTTTGCTTACAAATGCAAATGAAGCGCCTTAGATGCCGTTGCTATTTTGCATCACAATATAGTGTTCAACTTGGAAAAGGGTAAAAAGTATGTTCGATGGGCTTTTATGGACTATACTTCTGCTTTTGATTGTATTCCAAGACAACTTTTACTTAACAAGTCAATCAGCGTCAACACTGACAGCTAGATAACCAATTGGATATGTTCCTACCTCTCTGAAAGAGAACGGTACACTGTGTTTGGAGGAAACTGTTCAGCGTCTCTACTGTCTCATCAAGGTGTGTCGTAAGGAGCTGTTCTTTCACCTCTTCTTTTCTCTTTTTTTCTGCATGACCTGCCATCTTCCACAGAAAACACTTTTGTGAAGTATACGGATAATCTCATTGTATGTATGCCGATTTCTATATCTTTACATCCCATAGAAATGAATGAGTTTTTGTCTCGTGTTGAATGTTTGTCTGTTGTTAATGACCTCATATTTAATCCGTCTAAATGTCAAGCTGTTAACTTTAGCATGAGACATGAACAGCACCTAAACACCGTTTTGAGATCCCATAATGCCTGTGCAATTGGAGACTCTTTGATAAATAATGTCGAAGGTCAATTATCTTAACGTTACCTGTTTCTCTGACCTCTCCTGGTCTTATCATATTTTAACGTTATCAAAGAAAGCTTTCTGTCTGACTTACTACATAAAGAGGCTGCATGCTCTTGGGATTACTCGATATTTATTCTTACAATTTGTCAATTCCTGCATATTACCTATTATTCTTTACTGTTTTCCATCATTCTTTCCCGGGCTTTTGAGGAAAGACTTTGCTGTATTGTGGAGAGTGCTGAAAGCAGTTAGCAAGGTATTTGGTTAATCTTTCGAGGTCATTATTAATATGGTTGTGGATAGATATCTGAAGTCTTGCAAACTCCTGGCATGTGTTATTTTATCAGATACTAGCCATCCCCTTCACTCTTATCTTTCTCCTTGTATATTTTCTGGTAGAACGAGATGTAAATACATTAAAGTTCATGCACGCAAGCGAAAGTATAAGAGTTCTATAATACCTTACCTAGCAAATATACTCTGTGACGAACAGGTTGTTAGAGTTAACCTAGTCAATAACTTTCATTCTTAACATGTCTCTAATTTGAAAAGTTGTACAGATTTGGATATTTTTTCACCCTTTTCTTTTCTTTTTGTTGTTTTTGTAAAAGAAACTTGTTGAAATACTTCGTGCTGGAAATTCTATATTGTACCAAAATATAATACTGAATAAAGCCATTAATAATAATAATAATAAGTTAAGGGCTTCGACATTTTGACAACTCAAATTTATCAGCTTGGTCTGATTTTGCAGTATGTGTTATTCAATGTTTTATATTTTGACTATCATGAAGTTCTCTGACATCTTCATTCTAACATATGCTTTTATAATTATTCGGTAGTTTTTTTTTAGTTAATAATTCCTTTTTTCCTAATTTGTTTCAATGTTATCTAGTTTAATGGAACTATCAACAATCTGGCCGCAAATGTGAAGCGTTCCATTAATGGTGATCTAGATCGTAAGTCTTCACTCATTAGTTTGTAGCCTACTTTTATTTTTATTGTGTGGTTTTATCTGAAAGGCGAATAGTTTGTGTTACATTTGATCGTTTAGTAGAGAGTTATTTATTTGCTTATGGAAGTCATGAATGGGTTTACAATATTGTTGATGAATCACTTCCAGTTTATGTGTTGGAGTTTAATACTCTAGTAAATTCAGAGATCATGATTTATTAATAGTTCTGCAGTGGGTTATAGGTTCTTGCTGATAGAAATGTCATATGTAACAAAACAGTCGTTCTGATGATCCCTGACTTCCACTGATAGCTAGACGGACATAAACTAGTATTAAGGCATTGTCGTACGTTATGATAGACGTTGATTGTGTGTTGAGAATAACGAGAATCGCGTATCGAATAATTTACAATACTGAATCATCCTTACATATACACTTAAACTTTGAAACGCTTTTCGTTAGGATATGTTTGATCAAGCTGTCGCTTCTGTACCGATCTAGATGTTTCTACAAACCACTTAAATGTTGAGGATTCTCCTAGTCTTCGTCTGATCGTACAGAGAATATGTGAAACACCTTTTTAATACTTTCTAAAAGTATTTTTGCAGACTGGATTTTTATCAGAGATTAGGCATGTACATACACCCTACACTCCGATGCTTGATACCGACATAAAAGTAAGCAGAGTGGAAAAGATTCTCTTTCTCAATTAGTTTGTATTTCTATGTTTATAAGATTACTTTGTTCGTTAGCACATATAACGATATCCTACTGCATAAGGTTCATATCATAAATTTGTGCAGGTGTTGTACGCAATGACCAGTCACCATTTTCCTTTCATAGAGAAAAATATCTTCCTACCTAATGTTATATGTAAAATGTTTCAAATTGTATTTTGTTGATTGTCATTGCTTTTTTTCATCTGATATTCGACTTTTCATTACTGAGCTAACATTAGTTTGTCATTAATATGTTCTAAAAATGTTCTTGTTTTTCTTGTATACTAGAGTTTATTTAACATTTCAAATACTATATTAACAATTAATACAGATTCCTCCTGTAGTACCGCGCAAATTTTAATACGAATAATAGTTTAGACAAATAAATACACTAATAACAAACTTCAGATCGTCGATATGTTTATATCGTATATTAAAGGATAGATTATATATATATATCACATTAGATTGATTTTTCGCATATGTACATTACGTGTTTATACTAGAAATACAGTTCATAGTTCCGTTCAACCAGTTTTTTTCTTAAGTGATAATACATATTATGACAGGTGACTTATTTTACTTTTCCCATATACCTGTATTGTAGTTTATTTCGTTTAATATTTTCATCTATAGAATTCAATTATTCTGTTAGAGTACATTTCCATCATACTTATATAACATTGTTTTTTCATAGGTGCCTGGAACGATTTAGCTCACTCTCCAAAGACACGAGAGAAACTAGCTAGTGTATTCGAACATATTATGGTTAACATAAGCACCACTTTAAAATTTATTCGTGATCGAATTTCATTGGAGATTAATGAAGAAGTAAATGATCATTATTTACGGTTAGTGTGAATTTTATCCTAGTTACATGTATTTCTGGTGAAGTTTCTTTTAAAAATTTACAATCGAAATCATGCTGCTTACGTTGTTTATGGAATGAGCGATTACCATGCTTTGGCAAATCCTATATTTACGTTTTTCTAATTGACAAAGTAACGCAACAAATGCTTCTAACAGATTTTTAAGCTACTATAAACTCATTACTACCAAAAAGTTAACGATACTTTATTATATCACGTTTATATGTCTTATATGCTGGGAGTCGACACTATGTTCTTCTGGTAGTAACGCTAGTTTCAAGAGGAACCATCTAACTACACATTGCTTATTTCATATTTCTAGCTGTCTTTCTGACAGCTATTCGATCGACCGATATTCACATTATAAAATTACATAGCGTCATTTTCCTTATTGTAGGTATGCGAAATTTGTAAGACTACGCGTAGCGTGGTGGTCGGGCTTGCTTATCATAATAAACCGACTGGGCTATACTGGCTGAAAGAATCGTCCCTCAAGGTCCTACCATTCGAGACAGCTCGACTCAAGAACGGTAAGACTAAAAGCAGCAGACCTAAGGTCCGAGGGCGAAGTCGCACTGCTGACTGTACAGAGGTGTGGTGGCAGTAAGTTGTTTCCTTTAGACAACCAGCATAACGTCGATACTGCCTTCTCAAAAAGAAAGAGTGGGGCTAGAAAAGGTCAACCCGAAAAATGCACACCTCACCTTATCCCGAAGAATGTCTGGTGTGACCGACCTCAGGTAGTTGTCCCTTGGGCACTGCAGTCACACCCTTTGGTCGCTAAGACCAAACTCGTCTATCAGCTCTAAGCTTCCTCCACAAGTGTCACCATGACCAACGATTCGTGAGCGAAACACTGTTAGAAGTCTACTAAAACCTCACTCCAAACTACACATTGAAGCCCTGTGTGAAATCGGCCAGCAGGCTTCCTTGGCTAAATACCTAGAATATCGTACGGTTGATGTATGCTGTCTCCGAAACACACGTACAGGATCCTAGTGTATTCATTTACTTGACCTCACCTCTCCGAAACGGAGAGCCGACAAGACACACCCTCTGTGTATTTGGCGACCCGATGGCTAGTTCTCGTGGACTGGCAGGTGTAGGTATAGCATTAAGTACGAAGGTGGAACAAGCACTATTAGAATAGATCTCTGTTACCAGTTGCCTATATGCTGTTCGGCTAAACGGCTTGGTAAGAATTTGGAAGGATAGGTACACACGTTGTTGCCCTTTCATCATTTTACAGAAAGCTTTCTGAACTTCTTCAAAAATCTAAACTCAGACATAGTACTCATAGCAGCTGACTTTAATGCTGAAGTAGGCAGCTTAAACCAAACAAAAAGACCTTCAAGTGGGTATTTTAGTATTCCGGTTCAGCGAAGAGATAATGATGACCGTCTGCTGCAGTTGTGCTCAGACAAGCATTAATTTTAAGCATAAGGAGTGGCATCGTCTAACATGACAATCCTGTGCACCAAACCAACGATGGACTCAAATAGACCATATTGCCGTCAGTCATTGTTGGAGAGGCTCGATGGAATACTGCCGCTCGTGGAACACTTTAAGGAGCAGTTCAGCTGGCTTTCAGCTACTTTACAACTACCCACCATTCCCAAACAGAGCTTATGGCGAACTGTCATCCGATTTTGCAACCTCAAGTAGTGTCCGTCAAGGCTGTCCACTATCTCCATTTTTTTCAAATTCATCATAGACCTACTGATGAAATAAACGTCCTCGTCGACTGAATTTTTGGTCATTCATCTCTTTCTACGAGGTCCACATAGTCCTGTTTGGTGAAGACGCTGATAAAATGCATTCTCTTGGTAGAACTGAGCAACAATGCCTCTAAATGCAAGTCGTGACTTCAAAACTGGCCTGCGTCAACACCTGAGCTAAGGATAGGGAGTGAAATAGTCAAACGCGTCGACAACTTCACTTATTTTGAAAGTCTGATCAACCCTAATGGGTTGGTATCTGACGAAAACTGAACGGATTCAGAAAGCTCATTTGGCTTTTGTCAACTTTCGTCACCTATGGCGAAGGCGAGATATCCGTCTATCAATTCAAGGACGAGTATACTGCTGAGCAGTTCGTTCTGTTTTACTTGACGGCTAATAATAGAAGATAATCGTAAGTTACTAGTATTTGATCACCAATGTCTTAGAAATATTGCTCTCATCTGTTGGGATCACCGGGTAAGTAATAGTGAGATTAGACGCACGGTATTAGGGAATGATGGTAAATCAGTTGATAAGGTTGTAAATCTTTATTGATTGAGGTGGCTGGGCCACGTGTTACGTATACCTGAACACTGATTACCACGACGCGCAGTACTGACTAGTGTTGGAGACGGATGGTCTGAGCCATATTGGTAGATGCAGACTACTTGGACGGGGTCTGCGCGACTACTGTAACCAACTGTTGGAGACTGGGTGACATGGCTGAGAATCAATCACAATGACGTAGGTCGTTACACTCTTTGTTTTCATCTAAACCGTGAGATTAAAATTACTTTATACCTTTCTTTCTACGAACTAATTCTTCCTCTCTGTATCATATCCTTATATGCTATATATATCTGCATACATCGCTACTATTGAAGTGACTGGTTCTATGAATTTGGTGTTGATCTTGTTGTACTAATGAGATATGGGACCTTGGACCGATGTATATACATATATATATATATATGCCTGGTCCTACGTTGTAGCTGACTTATTGAATGTGCTGTGTAAACAATAACAAACAGAGTTGACATTTTTATTTATTCTTATATCATTTTTTATTGAAAGTTTCTAAAGTTATACGCTATCTTCAATGAAAATTTCTAGAGCTGTCGAGTATGTGTTATATGGCGGAGTGGCTCTGCTGTGCATTCCCATTTTAATTTTCTTGATATTATATCTTGGACTATGTTTTGGTACTTGTGGTGATCGTCCATATGAAGAGGCCGGTTTGTGTAATCGGGGTGTCGGCGCCAATTTTTTACTTGCGTAAGTGTGATATTTTATCCTTTATATATATAAGATCAATTTGATTTTTTGTCCTATTTTATCATACTAAGTAACATTTGCGTTGGGTGCTATAGATAAAAGAGTAAACTATTTTAAAGTGATCAGTTGATTCTTTATTCAATACAGAAATTAAGTAACGTGTTAATAAGAGATGAGGAACTGGTCATAGGGAAATATGAAGGTTTTCCTTACAATTTTTGACATAAAATGTAAATCATGTTGATTTTTTTGGAGATGTAGGTGATTGTTTCCTCTCTTATTCGTGGTTAAATATAATCCGATCATATAAATCCATCTGTTTTCCTTTTCATGATATTTAATTCCACAAGTGTTCTATATCTTTAGTTGTGAGACTATATTGGGCGTCAAATATCTTTCTACCACTGATTGTATAGTTTAGAGAGCCTTATATTTACCCGTAGTTTAGGGTATAATTTTCTGATCTTGTTCTCAGATTTTAATCAAGGTGTGACTATATATCCACTTTTTCTGTTTAGATTACAGTTCCGAAACATAGTTTTACTTTTACTCAGGTTAACGTTATTAACTTGAATCTCATAAACTGAAGTTCAGTAAGTGCGAAAATCCAAGTGATAGATGATATTTTCTTTTCAATATTCATGGATGTCTATGGAAACTTTGTTTTTGAATTGATTGAATTGCTTCTTGCAATTAACTCCCAATGCTACATTACCTTTTTTTCAGAGGTGTAGGATTCATGTTTCTTTTCTCAACTATCTTGATGGTCTCTTGCATGGTACCTTTCCTTTTTGGCGGAACTTTGCAAACTGAAGTTTGTCGATATCTGACTGGTCGCTATCCAGATGGTCCCCGAAAAATGGACCAATACGTTTTTCAAAGTTTGAAATCAATTTTTCTTACCGTTGAAGGGTCACTACCGAACTCGTCTAAATCTAGGACATTTCATGTTGATAAAAATGAACTGGAGGCTATCAGGTCAACGTTGGATATTATTCATTTTAATCTGTCAGATGCTATTTTGACTCGATGTGAAAACGAACCATTCGTAGAAGCAATCAGTACAGGAGAGTTCGTTTCCCCTATACTTGCTGATGTAAGTCGGTTTTTTCTTTGACTTGAAAACAATTTTTGACATCATTCACAATTGTGATTAGTTTTTATTTTAGTGACATATCTACAACTTTTATTAGTTTCTTTGAATAAGGAACAGAGTTTTTCTTAATACTGTATTTTTAACGTGTAGTCCTGATGTATTTATTTATTGTAAAAATTGGTCTGTAAATATTTATAAATCTTGAAAACAACAGAGCAATACCTATCTGAGTCACCCAATCATTCGTAATAGTTAAAATGTGAAAATCAGTTTAGTGTTCCTGTACATCTCGCAACTGTAAAGCAATCTTACATCTGTAGGTCGATATCTTCATATCTACTAGTTAACTTCAACATCCAGTTGCTTACGTAGTGTGGGAAATGAATTATTCAAATGTAGTTTTAGTCTTTTCGTTTTCCTTTATTACTGTGCATGCAGTTGAAATATTATTTATTCAACAAAGGCTAAGGTTATCCATCCCCTTTTAATTGTTCAACAAATAGGTGGTATCCATAACTTTCGGGCATTCTTTTTATTCATTTAGTTTATGATCTTTGTATATAGGAATGTAATTTTCATTCGCGACTTCATTCCAAGCTCTAACTTTCGCTACATTTGTGTTTTTCATCCAGCATGTTGGAATGAGCTACACTAACGTATTCATAGCTGACAGGTGTTGGTAACGAACTTCAAATGCTTGAAATGAAGTTTTAAGTGGAAATTACACTCTTTTATTCAGCAATCGTCCACTAAATGAGCGGTTAATTGCTTGAAAATGCTAGATATCGCATAAGTATTAAACAGTGAATAACTGGTGAATAGCTTCGACCATAATTAAGGTAGCAAGTGATTTGTTGATATAACTGCGACGATCATTTGGTTGTTATTTAACTAACTGAAATAATCACTGGCTGTCTATTTGACAGAAGGTAAATATAAATTTAGGGCAAAATAATAATAGAATCGATTCCCACGGTTTACAAGATTAATCACTTTATGTATGATACTTCGTACATTTGCAGTTGGATTATCTGTTTAGTAAGAATCAAATTAATTGACTCACCGTACAACACTATAATTTTAGTTAATTCGTTGAGAAGTGATCATTAGATTCTTTTTAATGTCTAACCGTACGTGCATAAAATTCCTTGTTTCTTTGTGGAGATTTGTATGTACAGCTCATAAGTCATTTGAAACACGTTTCTTCGAGAGAGATCGATGATTTATTCGTTTGTATTTTATCTATGCACCACAGTAAAGAGTCATTTTGTTATAAACCGAGAAATATTTCAACCTTCTGAATAGCTTGGTGTATCATGGTGCACTTTTTTGTCTGTTACAAAAATAAATAACGAAATACGTAACAGGATCATTTCGAATTCCATTTCCATAATGTCATTGAATAGGAAAAAGGGAATTCAGCTCAGAGTACAGGGTGAGCATATTTTTAACTTGTAAATTAATTAGCATGTTGTAAAGTCCTAAATTAGCTTGTCAGACTTATCTGACGTGGTTCATTGGAATTTCTCATCTTGGTTTCAACTTTTATTTGTTTCAAATTTACAACGTACATTAAAACATTCTTAGGTTTCATATGATATTCAGTTATTTTGTGTTTACAAATTATTGTTATATCAATTTTTTGCATATTTTAGGCAATTGACGGAATTTTGCAGGGTCTCATCGAGTCATTTAAGAAGGTCGATATAGAATCTCCATTTCGCCGTACTATCGGGTCGTGTTTAGCAGCTTTTGAACGTCTCAAATTTCTTTCTGCTGTTAATTTCAAGGAAGCTATCAACCAAGTTAGTTTAAAACTTTTGATATTCTTTTATTCATGCTTTTTTCTGTTCCTTCTGTTGTATTAGATATCTGGTATCTTTCCAAAGTAGATTATATTGGAATAACTCGTTACAACGAAAGATATCTTCTTATCATCAGTATCATTTTGACACTTTTTATTCAGCATGATATTTATAGCCTAAAGGAATTTGTTGAGAATATCAATCTTCACGGAGCAAATACTTTTTCTGGATGTTTCATCCCTGTTAATAAACATTTATGTCAATTAAACATTTCGTTTCTTTTGTAATTACCATTCCAGAAACAAACATGCACTTGCAACATTCAGTTTAAGTAAATGAGAATTTCTTCATAAGGGAATTATGTATCTATTAAAGTTTTCCCTATTCAGTACTGACTAAATCGTTTAACGATGCATCTTGGAAATTGTAGAGGAAGGTTTTTTTGAGAAATTTCACACACTTAGTTCTGTTTATTATCTTTCAAGATAACAAAGGAAACATCTTAGAGATATTATCTTCGACCAACAAAGCTACTAACTCTCCTATAAAACAGTGCATTAGTAAAACTTAAATAGTGTCTTATAGACAATTCGACACGAAAATTATCGAGTAAATGTAATGCCTCTCGCTCTTCTGTACTTTTTCAGGCTGGAGTACTTATAAAACTCGTTATTCCCACCTCTGAATATGTTGGCAAGGTATTTTTTTTTCAACCTATAAGCATGGAAGGGAAAGTTAGAGATTGTTGATGGATTTTATGTTCTTAGTGTGTTAATGTCTCAAGCAACTAATGAACATACATACTTATTTGCGATAATGTAAATACGATTATAAATTGACAATACTCATTTTTTAGAGATAATTCTCGTCGTATTGTTGATATTTAAAAGCTGATATCTCATTTAAGTTCTTTGGTGTTTGAAACTAACTATTCAACTATAGCGAATAACATAAATAATACTTTAAATAAGAAGTGATTAGTAGCGATATCGCGGTTTTTTCCTTTTAAAGTATTTTTTGCATCAATGTATGTTTGTTGCTCTAACATAGGTTATAAACGAACTTTTCAAAAAGGGCTTTCTAGTGTAGACAAATGCGTAAAGGTTACAGTAGTAAGATTAATCAATGTGACAGCGGTAATTTGTATGCATTTTCATCTATTTGTGCGTATATACAATTCTATAATAAAAGGTTTTGAAGTTTATAAATAATAATGTGTCTCTGGATTGTGGAAATAATTTAAAATGCAATGATTGCAACGTAACCAAGTATGGTAACTGCTCGCAAGACCAGATTATCGACTCAGGTCCATTGAAAGAGCTTGTATATAATAAACATTTAGACAGCAGAACATGATTTTTCTTAAACAGGGTAACATGCTTATGTAAGAAAAAATAAATAATGTATGGGGTTTAACTAACAAAATAAACATCTGTCAACCAAAGGATAGGTTTACTGCCCGTCGGTTTGCTCCGTTCTACTTTCTGTGTAAATCATAGCCATTGTTGGAGACTGGGTGACATGGCTGAGAATCGATCACAATGACGTAGGTGTATACACTCTTTGTTTTCATCTAAACCGTGAGATTAAAATTACTTTATACCTTTCTTTCTACGAACTAATTCTTCCTCTCTGTATCATATCCTTATATGCTATATATATCTGCATATATCGCTACTATTGAAGTGACTGGTTCTATGAATTTGGTGTTGATCTTGTTGTACTAATGAGATATGGGACCTTGGACCGATGTATATATATATATATATATATATATATATATATATATATATATATATATATATATATATATATGCCTGGTCCTATGTTATCAGGGCTGGCTGGATTTTTGTTGTCTTAATGTAACTTATACCCTGATTTCGGTCATTAAACTGAATATTTGATTGTCTCTGTAGTTTAATCATTGGTATTTTCCATCAAAGCAATCATAGTTTTTTTAATTATCACAGAAGAAATATCATTTTCATTTTTAAATCGATCGCATGAATTGATATGATTTATTTTCGACTTCTGGGCATAGAAACTTTCTTGCTCAAAACCACCTTCACTTCCCTCTTATAACTACGATGGCTGTGGGAAAACTTTAATTGCTGTGATCATGTAACGGAAGCAGTGAATAGATGCAAATAAAGAAGGGATCTCATTTCAATATCGAATGAGCTATGAGTGAAATACTTTGAGATGGCTATAATTTTCATACTTCTTGAGTTGTTCACCAATTTTTATGAAGCACTCAGTTTCATAGTTATAAATGGTTGGTTCTATTGTTCCAGTAATGAATTTACAACTTTGTTTCCACTGTTTGTGACTATGTTTTCACTTAAGTGTATTATGATTATTATTTTGACATCATTTCTTTCTCTTAAACTGCTATCTTCATTTGAAAAACCTTAAGAAAAAACTCAAAACAGAATCATGGTTTTCCTCACAGTATGTGTTTTTATTTGTATAATAGGTCAATACTCCACTAACTTTTATTGACAATCTCGGTGAATTTGTGTCAAGGTTGAAGGCTTTAAATATGGTGAGTTTTGTTCATATTTGTATAATTCCTTTTATATTTTCCATGTGAATGTGGTATTTATAACTAGATATTTTCACTTTTGTAAAAAATTCTAATTACATTATCTTTTTGTATTGTGATGCTGTCTTATGACTTATAGTCACTCACTAATATCATATAACGAAAACACCAATGAGAATTCGTTTCAGCACTAATAACCTTGGATCAACTCTAAATCCTTATTGGTCCTCCACACAGTGGTTTCCCGCCGAGTCCAGTACATAATAATCGACCTCCACTGTATGAATATTATCTTTCAGTTGTATTCAGTTTATGTACAGACATACCCAATCACGTCACATCATCAAATAAGAAATAATTTTACATGATGAATTGAGAAAGGATGTGTGAATCGGGGATACTGGATAATAAATTGGTAGCAGAATAAGTATAGTGAATCACACTACAGTGGTTAATGGATTATTTGAAAGCTGATGATAAAAGGAATGCATATTGATATATAATAATCTGGTTACTTAATAACTATACAATACGATATAACAATAGGATATAACGCTGTGAATGTATTATGACTTGGTAATTCAGGTAAACACTTGTAGCTTTGATTCTTATAAAAATTCTTAGTCCTAACCTAAGCGATAAAACGTAGTCCAATTTTGATTGATTTCTAATTTTGTCAACAAGATTACCTAAACGTACATTGGGTGTACATAAATGGGGTCACAATGGCTTTGAAAAAGATGAAAATAAGTTTAGAAATCAATAATCCTGTGAAAAATGCGAATAGCACATCATGTAACCATATTATGATGGGAAAAACACTGAAGTTGAAATTGTAGAGAAGACATTTTAATCCCCAAAGCTATGTCATTAGCCGGATGCACCTGCATGCCAGAGTTGATGTTCTCCCCGGGAATCAAACCCAGTACCGTTCTCTTCAAGAATAGAAAACTGATCAATTGCAATCCCAAACATCAATGGGAGGATTCAAGAAACAATACAAATGAATTACCGATAATTGTTTTGTCCATTTTACACTACGTTAGCAGTTGATATTTGCTTCAGAATGTCTTCATATACACGTAAATATCAATTGTAGATAAGAATCACACAGGAACACAGTGTTATAATTAGCTATCAACAAGTGTTTATGGCATATACTGCAGATTGTTTCTATGCATTCTAACCAAGTCTATTGTTTCCCAATGTCTTCAAGGAGTGGAAAAAGGGCAACAACATCAGTAAATATAAAACTCTCAAATAATTGATTTATATTCTCCTTAGTTACTGAGTGATTGCAGATCCGACAGTTTACATTTTAAGAAATAATTTGGTTTTATGGATTTTGAAGAATTCCATATTAAATGACTAAATATAAGTTCCTCCACTATATGATAGAATACGTAGCATCGATTTCATACATGCGTTTGTTATTAGTTCTTAAATGTCATACTTTCCCATTTATTTTTCATCGATGTAACAAGGTTCTTGTTGATGTGTCAACATGACATTAACGTTATTTTAGAGATAATATTTCCATGTGATGACTTAGGGGCTGATCTCCTACCCCGAGATTCATCTATTGACTCGGAATACACATGACGTATTGAACTTTCAATGTAGGTTTCTGACGTAGGTTATGGTTATTTTATCATAGTTCTCTTTCAAGTCATTTTGTTGCCTACATGTTATGTATCTGTTATTGTCTTACTGGTAAACTTCTCTGCTTTCTTTTCTTTGAAAATATAAAGGAATCTTTAGCTCCACATATTCAAACTCTTGTGAATGGACCTGTGGAATTAGATGCCACTCGTGATAACATTCACACCTTGTTTGTCCGATTCAATAGTTTACCGGATCAAATGAATCTTGCAATTAACAATCTTAATAGATACAATCAAACATTATCTACTTCCGTCCAGTCTGTAAGTGTAATTTATGCACACACAAAAACTTTTCACTTGATTTTCATTTATTTACTTATTCATATTCGTACCAAAATATATTTGGAAAAAAACATACTTGTTTGACTTAGTAGCCATATTGACTTGAAGAAAAACAATTTCACTTACTGTTCAAACAACGCTAACTGAATAGTGTGTCTTTTAGATTTATTTGTTAACTCAGTCGAAGATTAGGGTGTGTAATTTTAATATCAAGAAATTTGGCACTATAATGTGAAATCATTTATTCAAATAATATTCTCAATGCTATAGAACATATCATTTGGTCACGGTAATATTTATATTGATTAGGAATTATGATGTTAAATGATTACAATGATATTTAAAAGCATGAAAATTGGTTTATGTACTAAATCTAACACTATGTAAGTTTTCTCGATGGGACATTAATAGTTAGGGGTAGATTATCAATCAATGCGAATTAGCTAGTATTAAAGACAGAAAGGATTGCCTGTAATCAAATTTAGAAGATTGTTATTATGAAAGCGATTATTAGTTTATTATAATATTTTTTTTAATCGATTAAAAGATAATCCACCTACACTGACATTTTAATGTCTATATTTTTTGAAGAATGATTTTAAAAAAAGTTTATTCTCAGTTGTGTCTAATATATTTTAACCATCGATTTATACGATCGCATTTTCTTCATATGTACACTTGAAAGGTAGATATATATTTTCTCATTTTAAGCTATTTTGATCGATTTTTCATTACGGACAGATATCAACTTATTCACTAGTGCATACATAATCGTTGTCATTCAGATACGGTTACTGGTGAAAATATGTCACTGAGTCTATTTTGACTTTTTTTTATTTATTGTTATTGTTGTCAGAGTATGTTAGAGATAAAGCATAAAAAATGTTTATACACATATAGGTCAAATTAGATGTAAGCAAGTAATCAATTATGAACAGCTAACCATTGTTCAATCACTGGTGTGTACTGGAAAGTGTTCTGAATTTTCTAGTAATTCAGATAAATAAATTTAGTAATATATACATACTACTGATTTATGATGAAATACGATCATGTTTAGTGTGTCATTATGCATTATTCATGCGTCTAGTTTACATTATATGAGTCGATTTTGTCTGTATATTGTTTTTGTGACATTTCAATAACACAGTGATAATGGTCATCATCATGATGCTCAACTGTTTACTTTTATTTTGTATAGATCTTAACAATCAAATAATATTTACTTACTGGTTTACAATTGTTTATTACATTTTGTCAGTGTTTTTGTTTTGTGCATATCGGTCCGTCAACCATGATATTTATATAAGACCATAATTTTTATAACATTTGCCCATTTGGTACCAGTCAATGTTAACATTTACAGATTAACTGTATTTCATATTAGAGAACTAGAAAACAAGACAAACAAATGTATTGAAATAATTTTATCATTCTCATTGTTTTAATATTCTAATTTCTATTATTTAGCTCACTACTAATTCGTTGATTGTTCATGCATTTTTTTAATAAAAAAAAACACTTTATTTTTTCAGTCTATGAATCGTGGAGTTAACAGATTCCATCCACTTTTAACTAAAGAATTACAATTGGCTGTTATAGCCACTTGGCATGATATCCCGTGTCAGTCACTTCGTTTAGCTGCCAAACGTGGAGTCGATTCAGTTTGTTATACATTTTTAATGCCATTTGTAAGTGTACATTTATCTGTGTATTTCGTAGTGATCGTTTGTATTGTTACCCTATTCATCTGATGAGTGTCTAGATTTCAGTGTTTATTATTATTTGTATGTATATTGCCTTGACTATCGCTGAAACTATTACTATCCACAATAATTAAGTTCAAAAATATTACTGTCCTGATAAATGAACACATCGTTGTCTAACTAATATCAGATTAGTCCAATTCTTAGTGCTGGTTGATTTCTATCGATCATATTGGTCCAATTAGTCTAATTAATTCAACATCACAATAATGTACTTTTTTCAGATTTCCTTCAACAATAACTATTATATGTGTAAATATGTGTAGATCTTTTGTTACAGGAAATAAATATTTGTTTTCTTGTCTTTGATTCTTCAGAATGCATTTTGGACTGGATTAGGATTTACACTACTTCTTTTCATTCCCGGTATTATTTTCGCTGTTAAACTGGCTGGTTTGTATCGCAAAACAGAGAAATATAGTCACGATTATGAAGAACCGTGAGTATATACCTATTTGTAGATCTGTTTTTTCATTGTGACTTATCACAAAATTGTATTCTTATCATATTACAATTTATTTTTTTTTCGTACGCATAGTTCCCTTTATTGTTTTAAAGACAGCAAAAACAAAGATTGGTGCAGAATAATATGAGTTCATCTTATTTCGTTAGGTTCTCATAAGCTACTCGCAACATATGATATTAAAAATCAACATTATTACAGATATTGACATACGTACAAGTATGAAGGTGATTAGAGATGAATATGTGTATCATATTGTTGCGAGAATTCCAATGGAGTTAATAATATCATGAAAATTTTTGTTTCGGATGGATAAAGCTTGAGAGGAAAAATTCCAGAACATTGAACTGGAGATCATAACTCATAGAGTTATCAGATATTAGATGATTGTGTATTAACGTAACTGAATATAGATTAACTTTATTTATCTATCCGAAACAAAAAGAATTTCATGACCTTATTAACTCCATTGGAATCCTTGCTACATCATGGTACAAATGTTCATCTCTAATCACCTTCGTACTTGTATGTCAATATCTGATTTTAAAATATTATTGGTTGTAATTAGCTGATGAGAACCTAACGAAATAAGACGAACTCATATTATTCTGCACGAATCTTTGTTCTTACTCTCTTTAGTTTTTTTCCTCACTTTTTACATGTATGCATTTACTAAATACCACTGTAAGGGTCAAAGCATTACAAATAATGCATTATGTCTAGTTGTTCATTTCTTATGTATAAATAAATTTGTATATCTTCCTCCCATATATTTTTATGTCATGTCTAATTTACATTGTTATGGTTAAACTACCAATTGGCTATTTAGATCAAAATAAATAACATTAAAGAAACGAAGCAAACAAGATTCATACATCATATTTTTCTTTGACACTCGAACATATTAAAACAATATTCGCTCTTATTGACATTTAGTAACGTCAAGATTGTCAGTTTAAATAGTAGTAGTAGTGTGTGTTATTGATTATTGAGTAAATAATAAATGAAAATTATTTAAATGACTTAGTTTCTTCAGGTTGGCATACTGAGATAAGGTGTTGCAAACAGTGCAATGATGAGGTCTGATTCGGCACAATCATCTAGCTAATAAGTAATAATCAATTTATATCATTATGTTACATGTGGTGTGACTTATTAAGCACAACTGAAAAATAGTTATTTTCCAAAATGTTGATCTATGTTATTTAGTTATTTAGTTGCAACGTTTCATTTTTCATCTAATAGTTTCTCGTCAATATAAATAGAAACATTAATAATAATGTTGTTGTTGTTGATAAATCTTACTAGATATTTCTTTCATTATTTGACCTTAAGGTTGGCAGAATCGTGAGTCAATATAAGCGTATAGATTTTCATTTAAGTGTACAGATTTCAAGTTATTAATTTTGATTTGACGTATACTTTATCTACACGAGCTACCAGTGTAGGATGTCAATGAATCTATATGATACTTTCACATTTTTAGCTGCATTTATATTATATAGGCTTGTTTCTAGTGTAAATTTCACGCTAATAACGTAGTTTTATTGATTATTATATGAATAAACAAACAGGGTGTTATTAGTGGAGCAATGTCTCATTAGTTGAAGCGTTTGTTATCTAGATACTAAATCCTAGGTTTGAATCATGTCCCATCTATTTTAATTAGGCTAAATAGCCTTTACATTTGTAGTATCGTTCTTAACTGAGTGCATTAATCTGTACTTGGTAAAGTAGCATAGTTTGCACTAAATTCTTGGATTACAATAGTTAATAAGCACAAACTTCTTGTTCTCAGTAAACAGTCATTAAAAATGGGTTACCCTTGATACTAATCATATGGGTCTAATCGATGTCACAAGTCACCCTCCATTGTAATATTTGCTTATGGTGAACTCATCTCTCTTTTTTCTCACTTAATTAAGGAGTATACAAAGCATTCCTAAGTGTTTTCTGCTTTCCTTGACAAAAGTTGATGATAATTATCATCATTTCAGCTCATATATGTAATAGTATTTTAGATTTATTTTCTGTAAACATTTTACTCATTAAGCATAGCTACTAGGTAAATTTGTGGTATTTCTCTGTCAACGCTCTTTTTGTTTAATTTATGTATCATATGTACTATAACAAGTTCATTGTCTTTCAGTTAGGTTAGTCATATGTGTATTTATTGTACTATGCACTTGTTTAGCATCAGTTTTCATTAAACACGTGTCTATTAAAATTTGCAAGATGAAAATTATACTGATAAATGTCTAAATATGTATATGTCTTCAACGTTTTATTCTGTAAATTCTTAAAACAAACATTTTATAGATAAACAGTAATTTAGAGATAGAGAGAAAGCAAATAATAGTTAAATTTTTATTTAATTGAAATTCACTCCCATTTTTATTTCGCCATCATTGTTTCAATAAATTGTTTCTGTAATTGCAAATATTTACCATAAGCATTACTCTCATTGTCTTTTTATCTATTTATTTACTTTCAGGGATTACATATCATATCATGGCTTCTATATGAGACCACCAACAGATTATCAGGACAATTCACAGTAAGTTACTTAATATATCTTATCTATATCAAATTGAAATACTCGCGTATATATATATATATATATATATATATATATATATATATGAATGTCTGTTGTAGAGATTGATGATCAGAATGATAAAATTGGCATTTATAACTAATAAAAAAATGTATTAGTTTGTGTACTAATTTCATTCATTTTAAGAAGTGATATTTCCCGATTGTGCTACATTATAGACTATATAATTTCATTAATGTTTGGAATTACCTTTTTCACATAAGATTCATACTTTCATACCAAGTTCATTTGATAGTTAGTGTTTTTTTTGTGTTTAATAAATCCAAAGTGATTAGTGATATTTTATATGGCTCTTTTCGGATTACATTTATGATTTATCATAGTCGAGCAACTTGTACCTCGCTAAAACTACAATTTATGGGGACTTACAAAGAAATGAAATGATATTTCAGTATATTTTCAATTAATGTTTGGGTTTTCAATATTTTGATGAATTTTATGACTTACAATGTTTAAAATAATTGTTCTTAGTTTAAATTCATTTATTATTTTCTGTTGGACTCTGTTGTTTGAAGACATTCTGCGGGGTATAAATCATCCTACTAAAGGCCCTCTATTGGGACGTTCATATTTAGATCACAGCTTGTCGTTAACTTTAATTTGAATCATCTGCGTTAAGTAATCTGCTTTAAGGCTGACACTGTCTCGATTTCATTCATCCTTTATCTTCGTCTAAATCTTGAGCCTTGTTCCTTATTTTTATTCTTTGATTTCTTTTGTTTTTTCTTCTGATGCATATGATTTTCAACTCGCTAATCATCGTGATATTTTCACTTTTTTACTGTTATCTCTTTATTTCACTATGATGTTGCAGCATAAACCACCGATCTGCATTTGTAGTAGGTCTATCTTGCTTTTCAAACTTTAGTCTTTAAGTTTTGATGCCTTGTCGAGCAACTGTTTCAATAAACTAACAGTATAATAGGCGGTGTTGGGTGGGGTAGGGGTTCAAACAGAATATATATGTCACTAAAATTGAATATGGTGCTGACAAATATTTCTGTTTTATTCTTCCGCATAATAATTACCTTCAGCGCTGTATATTAATTTTGTTAAAATGTCTTTCAAATAGTTGTGTCTTTTTAAATCTATCTCATATTACTAATTACTGACTTACTAAACAGACTGACAAAATATGTATATCTTCTATCAGTAGGAATGAACTTTTCATCTTTCAGAAAAGTGAGAGACACGGAAAAAGAGAATGTGTGACGGAGAAAAGAAAGGAAATTCAAAAACTATGTTTGCTTGATTTTCTTATTCATCGTTGGGATTTTTGATTATCTGAAGTTTTTTCAAGAAAACTTTTCATTTCAATGTGAAAAGGTTTAATATTAAATACTACAAATATGTTAGTAAAAATGAATGAATAATCTTGTTGTAGTCATTTGTTCTGTTGCTGTTGTTATTCTCACTATCATTATTTCTTCCAATGTTTTTTAAATCAATTTTTGCCAACAACACAGCTGTGTAACATTATTCTCTACGAATTTATACTTTTTATATTGTTCATATATTCTGTCCATAGGTTTTCTTTGCTGACATTTATAACACGAACATATAATAATAGTAGTTAAGTGTTATTTAATATCTCATCATCAATAGTACTGATTTGTTGTTGATACCCTTGAAAGATTTTGTATTCGAGCTTTTGGCACCATAAATATTATATCTCCGGGTAAAATCTACTTTACTGTCTGGAGCAAAAAATTTCAACATTGAGTACAAAGATGATATGGTTTCTTTGTGAAATCGAACCCCAATTTCTCCTAATCAGTGGTTGTATGTTTGATGCAGCACTATCTAAATGCGGATTACTTCTTAAACTGGCAGGTTCTAACATTCACTTTATTCGGTTAGTTGTTGAAAATAGTCAAGGAGTGCATGTCTCTGTATAAGTAGTGGTGGTTCTACTGTGGACAAGGTCAGTCTACACGCCACTCTCGACCACGTTTTGCAAATCTTATCTCAGTGGCTCTCTTGATGTTATGACGTCTGCCCCTATCAATTATCACGTGATAAAATCGCCAATCAGAATACCGGCTTGCATGTCCCTATGCTAAACCAGTAATACATCAACCAGCACTAAATCCTTATTGGTCCTCGAAATAGTAGTTTCTCGCTTAGCCCTGCCCGTTGAGTCCAGAACACAATCTCAACCTCCACTGTATAAATCGTATATTTCAGACGTACTTGGTTTATATACAAGCAGACTAGACAGCATCACACCATAAAGTGCAAAATAATGGCTTTATAGGATTGAGCCAGAAGTGGCTATGAGTTTAGGAGACTGTAGCTAATAAACGGAATAGATTAAGAATGGCAAATCGTATAACAGTAGCCAATCGGTCATATGAAAGCTTATGATAAGAGGAAAATGAGTATACATATAATCTAGTTAATTAATAGTCACTCAACAAGAATATATGTAATAATAGTCCCTAAATAATCCTCATCAGTTACCATTCATTTATTCTTCGTTCGGATATAACACTTACTATGAATTATTTTCCCACATTAAGGTGTTGTGATAAAAGTGAATAGGTGACCATTTTGTGGCATGGAACTTGATATGCAAAATAACTTTAGAATTGACATGTCTGCCCGTCACGACTTCTATATATCAACGAGTTTCTTTAAGCTATTCAGCTTAGTGTTATAAATAAATACACCTGTTGTATCTTAAACTTTTGTTGACGTCTATAATTGAAATTGGTTAATACGGTAACGTCACATGTCTATATATCACGTTAGTGATTACTACCAGATAACCTGAAAATAATATTTCAGCTGAACGTGAAAATATTTTAACATGCTAAAAATTTATTGATCTGTATTCTCTGTTCATCTGTCTGTCTATCCGTAGCTACTTGTTTATTGACGTTTATACTTTATTTACCAATTTATTCAATATTATCGGTTTAGTGTGTATGTGTGTGTTACGGATGCAGTGATAAAGTCAATCAAAAACTTCTTGATTCATTATTTCTATTATTATGCTCATTTTTGACTTGGTCTTTGTCTTATTATTCATTATATAATTAAAGATAAGGTAATAATTATACGCATATTAAATCATCAGTATATATATATATATATATATATATATATATATATATATATATATATATATATATACATTTTTATGTGTGTACATGTTGCAAACTGACAATTCTCCAATATTTTTTTATCAATATTATTATTGTTATTATGATTGCGATCGTTATTTTAATCACTATTATTCCTATTTTCAATAAAGGAAACCCCGAAACAAATCTCGTAAACATAAAGGTATGAATGAGTCATTAATTTCTCTTCTATTTTTCCCTGTTTTTGATTTATAGTATACACACTGTTTTCTATTGCATGCTGTCATATTGAACTCGGGAATGTCCCGTCTTTTATTTGTTTTACATAAATGTATATCAATGTTATATATGTGTCCAGTATAGACATATTTACACATGTCTGTGAATGTTGTTTTTCGTTATTCTTGTTATACTATCTTACTACTTTAACTGTCATTGTCATTGATTTTCATTTTAATCTTATCACTTTTCCAACATGGTTGTTTTTAAAGCAATTAGTTGTTTTGGTTGTTTTTCCCAAAACTATACTGATATGATTTTCGTTCCATATACGTTATGCTTGTAGAGGATGACGGGGAGTGGGTTGGACATAGTAAAATATTTGGTAATGTCGACCATGATTGTGTTGGTTTTTCACTTTTCAGTTTTGCTCACACTTACATATTTTTTTTAAAATTTTGTATCCAGTGCAGTTTAAGTGTTATTTATAAATTTTTGACTGAAATTGTCAGTATTTATGTATATCAACATTTCTATGTATCAATTACGCGTATATTTGTGTTTTCAAGCCAGAAAAAAGACAAATTTCTGTCCGGCTAAGTTAAATAATAGTTGTAGATCAACAGGCACAAAATCGATCCAATATTTTCTAGTCATTCTAGTTCAAGTTCAAATCTCTCTTCGTCTACTTCATTTTGCTCAATCTTGTAGCAACAAAAGCCAAGTACACTAATATGGTACCTGGTAAATAAGTTAAATAACACTACTATGTTCCTAATATTTATAGTAAGAGTGTGTTAATTGTGTACTAATAATATTCTAGTGAACTGACTTATTATAATGCTTTTTTCTTGTTCTGTAATTGAATTTACTATCTAATATAAAATACGTCTTCGAAAAATTTTTATATGGTTACATAATTTAATTCGTATCACTATGTATTTATCTCTGGGTTTTATCTCATTTATCTGAAGTTTTAAATACAATTATATGTTGTTTTAGTTAATGAAGAAAACTCTCCTCATAATATAAGTTTAGATACTGAATCAAGTATGTTGTAAATGTTATTCTTCCTTAATATATACTATTGAATTTTATATTACTTTAAGAGGATTACATCAAATAAATTCATCATCTTGTGAAATAAAACGTTCTATGTTCTGTAGGGCATATTAAAATAAGTTAAAGATAATAATGACATTTGAAAAACAAATATAGTTAGGAAGTCAATAAGAAATAATATAAATATTTTCAATAGTTAGTCTTCGTCTTAGTAGTAGTAGTAGTAGTATTTAATACCTCAACAATTTTTTCCTTTTACACTCCTTACCAACCATAACACCGTTGTATGTGCAGTGTTAATAACGACACATCTTCAGTTGCACACTTGTTGAATGTCAATAAAATATCAACATTTTTGGTTTCCCTACAGCAAATTCTGTTTATGAATAATTAAGGATTTTTGTAATACGAATCAAAGAATATGTGCTCGAATAAATCGAATGTCTGTCACATAACAACATATCAACATTAATTATCCACAGGCTTATAGAGGAAATGGAACTTTCAGGATAACTTTATGTTCCGTGCATATGTAAAATTCAAAATGGAAGAACTCTATCTATTCAGTAG